CTGGTTGTTCTGGGAGCACTGCGACTGGAGCTGCTGGAGCTGGGGACTCTGGCGCTGGCGGTGCTAGCGGAGTTGGAGCTGCCGACTCTGGGGGTGGCGCTGCTGCTGGTGCTGCGGACCCGCCTGGTGGAGCTGCTGCTGGAGCTGAGGACCTGAGCGGTGGTGCTGCTGCTGGTGCTGGGGACCCGGACGTTGGAGCTCCTACTGGTCCTGAGGACCCGGCCGCTGGAGTCTCTTCTGCTTCTGGAGACGCTGCGCGGCCGCGACCGTACTTCGTACCGCTCCTTCAGCAGGTTCTTGGGCAGGCTCCTCCTCCTTGTCCTCCTCCCTCCGTAGAGTGTCCTCCGCCTGTCCAGCCGCAGTCACAGTTACCGCCTGCCTCGCCTCTCCCTGCTCCCTCTCCTTATACTGGTCCCACAGGAGGTCTTACAGAGCGTCGTGAGCCTGAGTCTCGTCCTGCGTCGCCTGTTCGTCCTGCTCGCGCTGGTAGTCGTGTCCATCGTGAGCGTCCTCCTCCTGTCCCAGGCACTCACTACATGACTCTGCGTCCCTCTACTGCTCCTCGGCGTGTCCCTCTACCGTCTCCTCCTGCGTCCTCTTTGCCTGCCGTTCCGGACCCTGCGTCTGACCGGTATCGCGCTGAGCACCCTACAGTCACGCGTCTCCTCGCTACTGTTGTCACTGACCCTACCTTTGAGTCCTCGGCTGCGTCTGCTCTGAGTTGGTTGACTTTGCTGCTGCCTGTCGTCTAGACTACGCTGCTAGCCTTGTTGCTGAGCCTGAGTCTGCGTCTGTCTGTCCTCCGTCCGTCGGGGGTGAGTGTGCTCTTGGCACGGACGTCCTTGAGGACAGGCAGGAGGACCTTGACTCTCTTGCGGCTGCTGTACCTCATCTCGTGGCCTGGTTGCTTGCCCTTGAGGGAGACCCGGATGCACTAGACATCCCCACTCCGCGCACTTACGCAGAGGCGATCTCGGGTCCCTACTCCTCTCAGTGGCAGACAGCCATGGACGCAGAGATGGCATCCTGGAAGTCCACAGGCACCTACGTCGACGAGGTTCCCCCTCCTGGGGCGAACATCGTCGATGGCATGTGGATTTTCAGGGTGAAGCGGCCGCCAGGTTCTCCGCCTGTCTTCAAGGCTCGTTACGTTGCTAGAGGCTTCAGTCAGCGTCAGGGGGTCGACTTCTTCCAGACCTTCTCCCCCACCCCGAAGATGACCACTCTTCGGGTTCTGCTGCACGTTGCTGCTCAGCGTGACTACGAGCTTCACTCTCTTGACTTCAGCACAGCGTTCCTGCAGGGCAGCCTGCACGAGGAGATCTGGCTGCGCCGCCCACCTGGCTTTACTGGGTCGTTTCCTCCTGGTACCCAGTGGAGCCTCCGCCGGCCAGTCTACGGTCTCCGCCAGGCGCCACATGAGTGGCACGACACACTGAGGACTACACTTGCGGCTCTTGGGTTCGCGCCGTCTACTGCTGACCCGTCGCTGTTTCTGCGCACAGACACGTCGCTGCCGCCGTTCTACATTCTAGTGTACGTCGACGACTTGGTCTTTGCTACTGCTGACACTGAGGCACTCGCTCGTGTGAAGTCGGAGCTGCAGAAGAGACACACCTGCACTGACCTGGGTGAACTGCGTAGCTACCTTGGCTTGCAGATCACCCGGGACAGAGCTCGCCGCACCATCACCCTGACTCAGTCACACATGGTGCAGCAGGTCCTTCAGCGCTTCGGCTTCCAGTTCTCCTCACCACAGGCCACACCTCTGGCTACCAGCCACTCGCTCTCAGCTCCACCTTCGGACGAGTCCGTAGAGCCGAGTGGCCCGTACCCAGAGCTTGTAGGCTGCCTCATGTACCTGATGACTTGCACGCGACCTGACCTCGCGTACCCTCTTAGCATCCTTGCTCGTTACGTTGCGCCTGGGAGACACAGGCGAGAGCACTGGGAGGCGGCTAAGAGGGTGCTGCGTTACTTGTGCAGTACATCAGGCATGGGGCTGGTGCTTGGAGGACGCGACAGAGTTGTCCTCACTGGTCACTCGGACGCTTCTTGGGTGGACGACCTGGCTACGCAGCGGTCGTCACAGGGTTAACACCTTCAGCCTTGGCTCTGGTTCTGTCTCGTGGCGGTCCACCCGCTCTTCCTCTGTTCTCGGCTCTAGTTGTGAGGCTGAGATCTACGCCACAGCCATGGCTGCACAGGAGTTACGCTGGCTCACCTACCTGCTGACTGACTTGGGAGAGCGGCCTAGTTCTCCTCCAGTTCTGTACGGTGACAACAAGGCGGCCCTTGCCTTGTGTCAGGAGCACAGACTGAGCACAGGACGAAGCACATTGCTCTTCGCTACTTTCTTGCTCGAGAGCTTCAGCAGCGCGGTCAGCTTCGGCTTGTGTACGTGGACTCGAAGGCCAACACTGCTGATATCTTCACCAAGGCGCTCCTGCCTAGTGATCATCAGCGGCACTGTACTTCTTTAGGCCTTGTGGCCTTGTGGCCACGTTTCCTCACTTGCGCTCACTGCTGACATTCTTTGTACTGTACTTTATATATATCTTGTTGCTTGCTTGCTAGGTTTTTGATCACTGTGTTGCTTGTCTTGTACTATATCTAGCACTGCATGTGAACTGGCCTTGTGGCCTTTACTTGTGCTCGGAGTGTGGTGACGTTGTGATCCACCCTGGGTTTGCTTTGCTTTGCTTTGCTTTACTTACACTGACTGGCCTTGTGACCCTTTGTTCTCCCCCACTTTGCCTATGGGGGTATGTCAAACTGTAGTATGCTTGTAGGCTGTAGTGGGGTAGCCAATATGGGTACAACCCCAACTAGTTTCATATTTGTACCCAAACTTCTGCTAGTTCATTCATTCTTGGCTAGTTATTCTGAAATTGCGAGCATCATCGGTCATCGGCGCTCGCGAATGAAGAGCGCCCCCTGCACTTCCTGCACATGTGCGGATCCTAGCACCGCGTTTTTGGGGGTGGGAGCGGTCGTTTCGAGCGCTTCTCTTCCGCCGGGTCATGTGGCTGCGCTTGTCTGGTCCTAATTACCCAGCCAGCAAGGGCGTGGGTAGGTTGCGAGCACCATCGGCCATCGGCGCTTGCGAATGAAGAGCGCCCGCAGCACTTCCTGCACATGTGCGGATCCATCCGCGTTTTGGGGTTGGGAGCGCTCGTTTCGAGCGTTTCTCTTCCGCCGGGTCATGTGGCTGCGCTTGTCTGGTCCTATTACCAAGCCAGCAAAAGCCTGGGAGGGTTGCGAGCATCATCGGTCATCGGAGCTCGCGAATGAAGAGCGCCCGCTGCAACTTTTTGCACATGTGCGGATCCTTCCATGTTTTGGGGTGGGATCGCTCGTTCGAGCGTTTTTCTTCCGATGGGTCACGTGGCTGCGTTTGTCTAGTCCTATTACCAAGCCAGCAAGGGCGTGGGAGGGTTGCGAGCATCATAGGTCATCGGCGCTCGCGAATGAAGAGTGCCCGCCACACTTCCTGCACATGTGCGGACCTTCCGCGTTTTGGGGGTCGGAGCGCTCGTTTCGAACGTTTTTCTTCCGACCGCTCACGTGGCTGCGCTTGTTTGGTCCTCTTGCCAAGCCAGCAAGGGCGTGGGAGGGTTGCAAGCATCATCGGTCATCGGCGCTCGCGAATGAAGAGTGCCCGCTGCACATCCTGCACATGTGCGGATCCTTCCGCGTTTTGGGGGTGGGAGCGCTCGTTTCGAGCGTTTTTCTTCCGCCGGCTCACGTGGCTGCACCGGTCTTGGTCCTATTACCAAGCCAGCAAGGGCGTGGGAGGGTTGCGAGCATCATCGGTCATCGGCGCTCGCGAATGAAGAGCGCCCGATGCACTTCCTGCACATGTGCGGATCCTTCCACGTTTTGGGGTTGAGAGCGCTCGTTTCGAGCGTTCTCTTCCGCCGGGTCATAAGGCTGCGCTTGTCTAGTCCTATTGCCAAGCCAGCGATGGCGTGGGAGGGTTGCGAGTGTTAAACTGTGTTATATGTTGGTAGGCTGTAGTGGGGTAGCCAGTATGGGGTACAACCCCAACTAGGGTTTGCTACTTGTACCCAATTCTTCCATTGAATGAGACATTCTTGCTTAGTCCTGTTGACATGGTATTCAGAGCAGGAGGTCCCTAGGACCTATCGACCGTTTCTTTTAAGGGCCCACCACCGCTCGCATGCGGTTACCACGCTACCCCGTGCCCTAGCCTCGTAGCGCCCTCGTGCGTCCTCGTTAGCGCCCTCGCGCGCCCTCGTTAGCGCCCTCGCGCGCCCTCACTAGCGCCCTCGCGCGCCCCTCGCTAGCGCCCGACTCGGCGCGCCCCTCGCTAGCGCCCTCGAGCGCCCCTCGTTAGCGCCCTCGCGCGCCCCTCGCAGCGTCGCCCGCCCGCCGAGCCGCCTGCTCGCAGCGTCGCCCGCCCGCCGCGCTGCCCGCTCGCAGCGTCGCCCGCTCGAGCCCGCTGCCGATTCGCAGGCCCGCGCGCCCCGCGTGCCGCCGCTTCGCAGCTCGCCGCCCGCGGTCGCTGCCCGCTTCGCGGCCCGCCCGCTTCGCTGCCCGCTCGCAGCGTCGCTCGCCCGCTGCCCGCTTCGCAGCGTCGCCCGCTCGCTCGCTGCCCGCTCGCAGCGTCGCCAGCGCCCCCGCTCGCAGCGTCGCCCGCCCGCCCGCTGCCGCGTCGCACCGTCGCCCTCCCAGCCATCGCTGCCCGCTTGCAGCGTCGCCCGCCCGCCCGCTGCCCGCTTGCAGCGTCGCCCGCCCGCCCGCTGCCCGCTTCGCAGCCGCCCGCCGCGCTGCCCGCTCGCCGCGTCGCCCGCCCGCCCCGCTGCCCGCTTCGCAGCCCGCCCGCCGCACTTCCCGCCTGCAGCGCCGCCCGCCTCGCCTGCTGCTCCCTGCCTGTGCACCGCCGCTTGCTCCTGCTGTGGCTGCTAGCTTCGCTCTAGCGCGTTCCCTCCCTGCTGCGGCTGCCGCTGCTTGGCTGTGCCTCTCACGCCTGAGCTATGGCCTCTATTCGCGTTCTTTCCTTCGATGCTGAGGGCCGTCCCGTGCAGTTCACTTCCTGGCTCGACGACCTGCAGTTGTATCTTATGAGCAATAGCACGGACCACATCTCCCTCTATGACTACGCGTCTGGTGCTGCCGCTGCTCCTGCTGCCACAGCCGAGCTTAGTGTACGTTCACAGTGGCAGACTCGTGACGCTGCAGCTCGCCTGGCTATTCGCAGTCACCTGCCGTTAGCTGAGCTAGAGCACTTTGGCGACTGCAAAACCGCTAAAGCCCTATACGACGCTGTCGTTGCTCGCTACTCCTCACCTGCCCAAGCCGAGCTTAGCCGTCTCATGCTGCCTTACCTGTTCCCTGACCTGTCCACCTTTGCTACAGTCGCCGATCTTATCACCCACCTTCGCACTAGTGATGCTCGCCTGCGTGCCGCCCTTCCCACCGAGTTCTGCGCTAAGAACCCCCCCCCCCCTGTCTGGGCTCTCCACTTCATAGTCACCCGTCTCCCTGACACCCTCAGCTCAGTGCGCGACTATTTCCTTGCTCGCTGTCCCACTGAGCTCACTGTCGCCCTCCTAGAGGAGAAGCTGCTAGCAGCCGAGAAGAGCATTGTAGCTGTAGGTGCTGCTCGCGGCGCTCCTCGCACCCCCATCTTTGAGGGGTGCTCTCCCTCTCCCTCTCCCCTCGCTCCCTCCTATGCTTACTGACTGCTTGCTGCTGTTGACTTCCTTGGTGCTGAGTCTGCTGGCGCTGCTTCTGCTCCTGGTGGGAGGCGCCGCACCGGCAAGGGCAAAGGGGGCAAGGGTGGCGGGAGTGGGCGCTGGGGGGGGAGGGGGTGGGGGAGGTGGGGGGGGAGGCGGTGCTGGAGGGAGCGGTGGCGGGAGTGCCGGTGGGTGTGGGGGGGCCGCGGCGGAGGCGGGGGCGGCGGCGGGAGCAGTGGCGGTGGTGGCAGCGGCGGCAGTGGCGGCGGTGGCGGTAGTGGCGGTGGCGGTGGCGGTGGTGGCGGTCGGAGCGGAGGTAGTGGCGGCGGTGGAGGTCGGAGTGGAGGCACCGGCTCGGGCCAGAGCTCCCAGCAGCAGCAGCGTCCCCAGACGACCCAGAAAGCTTCGTGAGTGGCTTGCTCAGCGTGGGACGTCGGGGGGCAGTGGCCGCTGTTCCTATGTCATTCGCACAGGTGATCGCAAGGGGCAGACGTGTGGAAAGTTCCACACTCAGTACCGCTGCTTCTTCCGCCTTGACGACGCTTGGCGTGAGGAGATGGGCGAGGATGTTGAGCGCCCTCGCTGGGCTGAGCTGATGAGGGCTGGTGTTGATATCTTTGCTCTTGACTATGATGCTATTATTGCTGCCATGTATGC